AGAAGGCGTGTATACACTTCTATATACATTATACATGTATGTATGTATGTATGTACGCGTATACATATATTTTATCTTAGTTGTAAAAGCATCTCAGGTGCTCAAGCACATTGTATCTTAAATGCTCAAGTAGATTGCAATGTATGAATTCTAAACACCTTCAAATGCGAGGGTTGGTGAACTGCCCGGTGTTACGCCTCGTGATGCTCAGCATCCCACTTTAGTCTACGAGATTTGAGTTGACCGTTGACGAGATTTGAGTTGGCATGTGCGTAGTTGAGTGTTTTATGTGTTAAGTCTGGAGAGCATCTCTTGTACGTATGTTAATCCATGCAGGGCCGAATAAGGTTGTAGCATGTTGGTAGTTTATGACATTCTGTCACGTACTTGTCACCACAACACGATCCCGACCAACTGCCAGCCGATTATATGAAGAATATGTTCAGATGTACACTCAGCTTCGTGGCCAACGCCTATTGGAAGAAGAGAATCCTTAGGTAACGAGCGCTTCGCCCCAATTCTTCGGATACGTACACTTACACATCTCACGCTGCTTACAGTGGCACAGCATCCAAAGAGAGGCCGCAGATTCCGTATTCGAGCAGTGGAGCAGCGAAGGCCAACATCATGCCGGAAGTACGACCATAGGGCGTGAGCCTTTAGAAACATATATATTCTTTATCCCTACAAAGGGATCTATACATTGTCCTTGACTTGTAGACTTAAGCTCTTCAAATGTCGTTAATTGCACCTGTACCACCCCCATGAGCGCCAGCTGGTTGCCGTACATAACAGCGGAACTACAAAGATACTCCAGGCTCTGGAAATCACACACGTGCACTACTATATGTGTCACTCCCAACTGTGGAAACTTCGCTAGAACTTCCTCAGCACAGGCTTGTTTGTCATTCTTATCCTGTGTAGCATAACACCAGCTCATAGTGTCAATCTGATCCACGTCCACGCGAGCCACCCGCGAATAGCCCTTAAGATAGGAAAACAGGTAGTCGAAGCCAAATTCCGAATCTATCAGTCGACCCCGTTTCATTATCCGCACATATCCGCCTGTACAGATGTCGCTTTGCGCATCCACAATGATGGGTTTCCGTTGTTGAACTGTGATCCAATATAGAGGATCGACTATACTGTGCAAAGGTGACTTCAAAGGCGATGCGCGTATATGTAGCCACCACTCTATGGCACCCAAGTCGTCACACTCAGAGGCTATATGCATCGGTGTACTGCGCGTGAATGCATGATGCGCAATACCGGAGTAAGAGTCTGCACCCGCAGTCTTGTATGTGCGCGCTGAATATACCTCAGTACTCGTGCCTGAGTCTACTGCATTATCTTCTAGGACAACAGTTTCGCTCCCACCATCTTCGTTAAATTCGGATTGGAAGTGGCTGGTGGTGCATAGTTCATTAGGGTGACGCTGATACCATCTCAGCGAACAGTCTAGAGGCTCCCTACTTAGTGCGTCTGATGGCGCATAGTATTTCCAGTCTATTTTTCCCCTGGGACTCTCGTATACTAACTTAAAAGTTGCAGAATCTAATAGTCTCGGAAGTATCTCTGTTTCCCTGCTATCGAAAACTGCGCCCGTTCCGGAGACCGCACCAGTCAACGTTACGGCGTGCAGAAGAGACCGAACATAAACTGTACCCAACCCCATGACATATTATGTATATACGTCTCAAGAACACGTCGGTTGCTTTAGCCACGGCCCAGCATTTCAGAAACTGGTAAATATTATATTTACATACCCTCGCAGTCGCAGGATGGAAAGAGATAGTAGAATGTAAATATTGCATTTTTTTCTCGACTCGTCCACAAGCAACAAGCCAAGACTGATGAAGACTCCCAGAGTCCCAGCAGAGAGAGAGAGAATGAGAGAGAAAGAACTAACTCGTGCGAACATTTACGTTCAACGTTTATATATTGATGACCCTCTGGTTTGTCACTTTGAGTGTAAATATGCTCGAAGCCCTGGGCCGGAGGACTGAGGATAAAGTTTTTTATTTGAGTTGTAGTGCGCGTATTGAGTAAATTAAGAGCACTTATATTTCTGCAGGAAAACCACCCTAGTTGGTAGTAAAAACCTCGTTTATTACACAAATTACTACACAAGTTGTTGACTCAGTAATATAGACAATTGTGATGTTATCACTTTGATATATATACTATTTTCAACTTAGCCTCCAACTTGTCTTTCTACTGTTATCTTTACTACAAGCTAACCTTTCGATAAGACATCAATTTTCACCCTTCAACTCGTGTCGTCAACACTGCCATGTTCCTGCATCAGGCAGCCTCCAAATAAGGTATTCTTCTTACGTTATAAAAGGTCTATATGCATCAGTGTGACCTAATCCTTCCAATCAAGTCGCAATCTTTGAACATCACACACATATAAGGACAATCTCTCCCATACATGAACAATCCATCCACATCTCATCCAGTGATTTCATATGTGTTGCGCCACATCAGTTTTAAGTGTGTCTCAATCACGCTCTCTAATTATTGTCTTCAAAATAACACATAAAGCTGCTTTTCGCATGTGTTGTTTCAACGTATGCACCCTATTCTCACTTTTCTAACAAGTGTTAGTAATAGTGTCAGTATCGTTCGTTATAATAGTATCCTGCCACTTATATAATCAATAATTCTTATCTTATCCATATCTATCAGTAAAGTTTACTTATTTTACACGAACTAGGTTTTGCCAATGAGTATACTCTTGGAGTATATACGTATGCACATTACACGCCCATCGGCAGACATGCACCTCCATGCCCTCTGTCGAAGCATACGTATAGACTTAACAAGAACTACTTATACACTCCAACACATACTGAAGAAAAAAAACAGCCAATATAATGCTTGTACCCAGCTTATTTCTTTTTTTGGTTTCTTTGGTTTGATTTGGATTTGTATACCGGACCTGCAGGAAGATTGAAAGTGAAACATAGACGATAGCCAATAGAATGATCGCTTAAGAAATCGAAATCTATTGGTGTAAATTGGCGCGTAAAACCGTACTACCCCAGTCTAATTTTCAGAAGACTATGCCACAGTACACAAATATTAATACAAGAAATTATCATTCAACTACTGATCTTAAAAACAAACTTTGAGATACACAAGTTGATCATTGATACACACCACTGTAACTATTACAAATCGTTGACGTATACAGTATACACAAACAAGCACACGCACATACAATGTAGTGAATCAAAATAATTACACGCATACATTGTACACAAACACGCACACTGTGGTACATAGCAGAATACACGCATATGTACATACACGCGGATAACACACTGCAAAAAAGCAAGCACACGCACACATACATAGAAAATATACGCATACGTACTTACACGCGGATAATGCACTGTATACAAGTACACGCACACATATATAGCAGAATACACGCACACGTACTTACACGCGGATAACCCACTCTATACAAGTACATACAAAAATACATAGCAAAATACACGCATACTTACATACACGCAGATAATGCACACGTACATTCACCTAAGAACATCAAGAGTTTTATTCTTTTTTTTTTCTTTTTCTAAAGATAGGATTTTATGAGTCTCTCGGATTCGCCCCAATGAAACATACCATATTTCTAATAGGGCGACAACGAAACACTAAATAAAATCCCTTCGGCGGAAACAGTACTGAGAGGATTATATATAGGCGATGTCTCATCCTCACAATCCCTCAGAGTATTGCTATTTTCACGAGGCATACCTAACTTTACTAAATGTCTTATTTCGTTTATTGACTTTGATATTTTCACGATACTTCGAGTTTACCTACGCGTTTATTCATTCTAAGGCGTTAATATCGCCTTGAGAGAACGAATCTTACATGTTTGAAGCGATGCAGGGAGGGTTTAGGGTTTTACTCAACAAAATACCAAACATAAGAGTTGGTCTAGTTCTATTAATAGAACTATATTTACTTTCCAACTTTATTTATATCTGAATACTTCGGTAGCGAGATGGCTCAACCGAATATTGTAGAAATACGGCCTCCGGTCAGTCTAAAATATCAAGATCAATTGAGATATTACATTGG